TATTTTATTAGTGTTTTCGTCAACTACAGTGGACATGGTTTTGATAAATTCATCCAATTTTTCTGTTCCCTGAAATTCAGGCCAACTCCTGACGAAGGTACCCACAAGCACATTCATCAACTGTTTTGCACTCTCTGCCAGAACATCTTCAACATATACATATTTTTACTTTATTAATTTCTTGGTGTTCCTCCAACTTGGCATTTTTTTCCTTTTCGCATTATTTTATTTTATTTTATTTTTTTAAATTTATGTTCAAATTATTGGAAATTACTATTAAAATAATATTATTAATGTGTGGTGGTTAGTGACCGTTAATCGATAATTATTCAAAAATCGTGATGTAGGTTTCAGAAAAACATTTTCTTTATCGTGCCAACGTTTCGATCTTTATTGAGATCATCTTCAGGGCCTGGGATTTACAAACATTGTTTACATTGTGCCATTCTTGCGTGTCGAGTTGAGAGTGCACAATTACCAGAAGACAAACACTTTGAGCCCTGAAGATGATCTCAATAAAGATCGAAACGTATTTATGGTAACTATGTGGATCTCCTCAGAAAAAAAAAGTTTAAACAAGAAAAGAAAAAACAAAATTTAATTAAAAGTTAATCCTAATTTTTAAAAAAACATATATACATTAATTAACAAACAATAAAAATTATAATACAAGACTCTACTCACAATCCACACTCAGCTGAGATATGAAATATTAATTTTTAAATTTAGGAGAGATTAGAAATCAAATGCCCGTGTTCACGCGGTCGACCCAAGAGAGTAGATGGCGAAAAATCCTTTTTTTCATCCATGAGGTTTTTTCCCCGCGAAAACTCTCGATCTTTTTGTGGCGCCCTCTTTCAGGCTGGCGCCCTTTTCCAAAACTCTCCAATATTTATACTATATCATCAGTTGATACATATTTATATATATACAATATAAATATATACAATATAAATATATATAATATTTATACTACATCATAAAGTTGATTTATTATTTACGTTTTATTGTATTCTAGGAGTTAGTTTGGTTTTTCTTTTTAACAAGGATCGTGAGGCAGACCTAGAAGAAGAAAAACGCAAACTTTCGTCGAGCTTTCGGTTTTATTTAATGCCTACAACCAATTTTCATGGCCCAAATCGGTTGTACTTACAGCTTCACGCCACTGGGTTGATTTTTATAACCAATTCTCTACCTAAAGTGATTTAAAGTGGTATGATTTAGACATTAAATAAAATCAAACACTAGATCGAGATTAGATTTTTCTTTTGGCAGGGCTCAAGCCTGAGCATTACTAAAATAGAACTATATTCATCGTTGAAACCCCACGTTTACATATTACACATATTACAAATATCTTGCTCAAGGGGGTGATTGCTACATTGGTTTAAAAAAAATTGGTTCCGAAAGGCATGATGAAAACCTTAAAAATCCAAAATCCGCTGCAGACTTGAGATTTTTCGTCCTGTAGACATATTACTGACCCTTACTAAAAAAACACTATATTCACAATTTCCTACCAGTTAAAAACTATAGTTTGGACGGCTAGCTTCATCTTTTGAGAGTAAATATTACGGTATGGGGACTTTTCCTGCACAAGCCACTATGTATAGTGGCATAAGGTCAACTATACAAACAAAAGCGCGTCCTTCCAAACACCTTATCCTTCAATCCTTGCTCGTTGCGCATGCAGCGCAGTTATATATATGATTAGTTGCCTTTAATTTGGCAAGATAGTTTTGAGTCCTGCAGAAAAATAATGTGATGAGTAAAGTCACCAGCTGGAGTGTCGTTAGACAGGACTCCATGTAAACACCTTTTGTTTACGAGGGTTCACAACAGTGGAGGTTATATCAACCCACGGGGTGCCGGTATTTTTGGGAAAAAAAAAAGCCTATTTGTAAGTATGTCGGGACCTTTACCTTACAGTGATGAGCGCCGTGTCAACGCCTAAACCGTTGCGGCCACCAACGCCCCGACAATGTTTTTAATTTCAAAAAATATGGATTGGATCCGATCTTCGGAAATTGGGTACGAATCCCATCCATGATATTACCTTTTATCTCGAATCTCGTGTTCACAAATTAATCATTTTAGATTGGAACGGAAACCGATAAATAAACATTAATCATAGATTCACTAGTTTTCGTGGTCCGCTTGACCAATTAATATCTTTCAATTAATTAATGTTTTTAGTTGAGATAAAGAAGTCAGTGTCACTAGCGGCACGAAAAATGGCAAAAAGGATGGACAATTCAAAAGGTGGGGTCGAGATGGGAAGTTAGTGTCAGAGTGGATGGAAGTCACAATAGCTCAAGTGGTAGAGCAGCGGCGTATCTAGCCGAAGATCGTGGGTTCGAATCGCGATCGTGACACTGATTTTTCTATCTCTATTCTAACTAAAAACTTTAATTAATTAAAAGATTAACCAAATCATACATACTTTTTGATTCCAAAATTATTTATTTCAATATACTTTGTCTTAGAACTGTAAACAATCTTCGTCATAATCATTCTATTATTTATAACAAAATTTCATCGCATTAATGCGAGTTGTGCAGTTCAAAATTGAGGCCACAGAAAACAAATTGATAACTGAACGAAATCAATGAGTATAGAGGATAGATGCCTAGGAATTATATTTTGTAAAAAGTTAACCTCGAACCCTTACCTNCGGACCATGGACAATATGAACTTTTTTGTTCATTTTAGGGTGAAGAATCTACTGGAGAAGTTTGTAGCACGAGTAGCAATTCACCCTGTATATTCCACGGAAAAAAGGGTATGAAGGACGATATTGCCAAAAATCGACACCACTATGCCACAACTTTACCGAGTGTATTTACCTAATAAACAGAATGCTATTATCTCAACAACCGTACATTTTGATTTTTCTCCCCCCCCCCCAAAAAAAAAATGCAGTTTGAACGCCTTCGATCAACAAGCAAATTATTTCACAAAAATTAGACTATCACAAGAAGTAACACTATAAAGTTATAAGACAAAGACATTTCTCATTACGATTGATTTAATTTTGATGTTGTCTGACGTTGAAGGAAAAAAAGAACGTGTACTTTCATATCAATGAAATGGGTTACACTTTGTCGAACCCTTGGAATGCCTAAGTGAAGCTTATTCGATAACGGCTTCGAGAGAAAATCTAGGACTGAGTAACAATTTTTTTTAATTCTTGGCTTTCTTCAACAAGCGGACAAAGAGGAGTGAGCATTAATTACGCTTGACGGTTTCAACGCTGATATGGAAATCATTAGTATAGTTTCACTTGTATACCATTAAATCCAAAGTTTACTTCTCTCAGAAGAAATTTAAATGATGACTATTCTGAGATCGTGAGATGCGGTCTGGCGTGATTTAGAAAAACATTTTCTTTATCCTGCAAACGTTTCGACCTTTATTGAGATCATCTTCAGGACTCAAAGTGTTTGTCTTCTGTGTAATTGTGCACTCTCAACACGACACGCAAGAATGGCACAATTGCACGGAAGACAAACACTTTGAGCCCTGAAGATGATCTCAATAAAGATCGAAACGTTGGCACGATAAACAAAATATTTTTCTGAAACCTACATCACACCAGACCGCATCTCACGATTTCCGAATCATCATCGAATAACAACCACTAATCACCACACATTAAGTGATGACATTGAATAATTTAAATTTCTATTTTGAATTATCATAAACCTCACGCTTTTCTTTATTCGTAAATTGTCTTTTAGTGTCAAGAGAATGGACTAAACGTTAATAAATTTCTGTCCACATTTAGATTAAATAATAAAGGACTTTCTCACAGTCGTACGAATCAGCACCCCCCCACACATGGTTATTCTGGAGCGGATCCCAGGACATGAGGTGATAGAGAGAAATGAAAAGATAGATCTACTTGCTAAGGATGTATTTCTTCAATTTTATTGAACAGGCTAGATTCTGTAAGACTGATGGCTTAAACCCAATGAGGACTTCAAACAAGTACTACTTATATACTAATTTTAAGGAAGCAGAAGACTAAAGGTGACAAAATTTAAAAGTAAATTGTTAAAAGGAAAAAAGAAATTTCCTTATTAAGGAGCAAAAAAAATGTATATATATAAAACAAATAATAACACGTCGCGTAATAAAAAAATGAGTGGCGAAGTTTATCGATTGAAAGTTTATCCGTTGAGAAAAACATGGTATATTAAAAGTTGGTATCTTTTAATATACCATGTTTTTGTCTTCTGTGTTTTTCATAATTCACTAGTTTTCGTGGTCCGCTTGACCAATTCATATCTTTCAATTAATTAAGGTTTTTAGTTAAGGTAAAAAAGTCAGTGTCACCAGCGGGATTCGAACCCACGACCTTCGGTTAGATACGTCGCTACTCTATCTCTTGAGCTATCGTGAATTCGATCTACTTGGACACTAACTTTTTAGTTTAGATAGCTCAAGTGGTAGAGTAGTGGCTTATTTAGCCGAAGGTCGTGAGTTCGAATCCCGTTCGTGACACTGACTTTTTTATCTCAACTAAAAACCTTAATTAATTGAAAGATATGAATTGGTCAAGCGGACCACGAAAACTAGTGAATTAAATAAGTTAAATCAAGTATACTTCATTACAGCTCTCCGTGACCATTTTATTTGTCGCCGAGCATCAAATAATTTACACGACATTTGAAAAATGGCAAAAAGGAGGGAAGATGCAAAAGGTGGGGTTGAGATGGGAAGTTAGTGTCCGAGTGGATCGAGGTCACGACAGCTCAAGTGGTAGAGCAGCGTATCTAGCCGAAGGTCATGGGTTCGAATCCCTCTCGTGACACTGACTTTTTTATCTCAACTAAAAACCTTATTGACAAATTGAACTTTTCTTAACTAATTGAAAGTTTCTCATAATAATAATATTCGGACTACTAGGATATCACTGTTATAACTGTACTTGTTCTGTATTATCTTAGCTCAACTTTGTATAAGGTAGTTTGTTATTTTTTATAGTTTTCGCTTACGTAAGTCACGATCCCTTCCACTTAAAAGCCACTGGTCGCTTGCGGACAATAATCCGTGTATCACAAGAACAGGAGGGCCGTAATTGAGATTCTTCGTGTGCAGTCTGTGTAATGCCAGAATGTATCCGTCCTCAGTCTTCACCTGACGCCGTTCGCATATCTGCCCGCGGGCCCATACACGTTGGCACTGAAATCAAACCATTAAACCATATATTAATTTATATTTTTTAATTGATAATTATCTAAGGATTTGAGAAATTTGATCAGTTCCCGATTAACTAAGATCATATGTCTGCTATTTCATTCTCGTAATTGTCGCGAATTAACTTGAGTTTGATTTAGAGCCAGATAACACAATAGTGCATTCAACTAGCGAAAAATCAAAAACTGCTGTAAAACAATCATAATGAGACGAGAGAGAGAGAGAGAAGGAGAGAGAGAGATGGCTCGAGGTTAAGTGCCAAGCGTACATAGCGACAGATCATCTACCGAAACGACTTGCAGAGGTCCAGAACTCGACAGCGTCAGCAACCNCTCTACTTATGCCAACCCACTCAACCCGATATATCTAATACATTAAAAAAAATCGAAACTCCCCTTATAAATTTTGTTACTCTACTTTTTTAAAATAAACTCTTACCACGTCTTGCCCTCAATTATCCCATCTACGCAAGAATCCCTAACCTTCTACTCGGGAATTCCAAATGATTGAACTCCCATATAGTCGAACTTGACACACTACTACACAGCACACATATAGAAACTGAAACAGAACTGACTACAAGATGTCTAGAACTGCTAACTGAATATACTGGCTTCGGAACCATAAGTCTCATAGCAGCGGAAATAAACGTATGAATGCGTACCAGGAAGACGAAATAGCGGAAGTCCTCTGTTGGTGTAAAGTCTATGCTGGCTATGAGTCAAAACCTCACCCACCTAGGAGTAGTCAATGTCAGCCCTCTCACAAGCTGAGGATATGTTCCGCTGTTTTTCTTTCTGGCAATATCCGCATAGATAATTAATACGATAAATTCTTTATTTTACTTATCTAAAAATCGTTTAAGGGAAGTATTATGTTAGTGATTAAAAAAAATATTTGTTATCTTTGAGGACAGAGTAGATTAGCTCATTTTTTTGTCATTGACAAATACTTACAACTCTTCTTGTTTATTCCTGTGAAGTTTTTCTAACAATTACGCGTACAAATAGATTTTCATAGTCAATGGTGGTAGAATTATGCTTGCTGATAATAAATTGTACGCTTAAACCGGGTTGACGCTCGCTAGGAATGTCGCCCGTCCGACTAAGTTTTGGGTTAAGTGTCATCAGGGTTCCCTTTATTCTCATTCCACCAGCATCTCACTCTTACCGGGCTTCATCTCCATCTCTGTTCTCTCTGACCCATATTACTTTTAAGACCGGGCGACTCCAAGACCAACATTGAGCGCATTATATTTAAAATTAACTATTGTCCGAGTGAATCGGGAAAAGCGAACCGGCGATCTCGTTATGGTTGCCTGAACAAGCGAGTATTTTAAAAACATAATCGCGTTATTTTTTTTTCTTAATATAGGTAAGGATAACCATGTGTGAAATCGCAATTAGAGAAATGGGTTAGTTATTTACTAGACGTTTAAACCGCTTATGAGAGCGTACTAGCACAGCATAAACTCGTTCTTTAAAAATTGGCCAATCTGAATATTTTGATAATTTTCATTTGTAATTCATCAATTGATCAATATAAGACTTTATTAAATTTGTATGAATGGTTGTTGGTTGTGGTTGCTAGGCAGTCGAGTTCTGGACCTCTGAAAATCGTTTCGGTGGATGACACTTAACCTCGAGACATCGCTCTCTCTCTCTCTCTAGCGCTCTCTCTCTCTCTCTCTCTCTCTCTCTCTCTCTCTCTTTCTCTATCTGTCCGTCTGTCTGTCTCCCTCTCTCCCTCTCTATCACTCTCTCTCTCTCTCTCTCTCTATCTATCTATCCAGGCCAGGGTCCTCATAAGTGCTGTTCTGGACGTCCTCCTGAATCTACCACCACTACATATCTTCATCCAGGGAAAAGGAGGCACAATGTATAACCCCAAATTCAGATTTGATAAAAAATGCAAATTAAAATACCCGATAATGCAGTCTGGGTGAAAGGTGGTTCAGTTAATGCCGTCTGTATTTGGAATTCACATGGCCTTAAGACCTAGTATGAGTTAGGAATTATCTATGGAAATAATCCAAGGAATAGAATTCACATAAACCTACCACTGCCTTTCAGTAGGACCAACAGAAAAACACCATCTACTCGGACATCCAGTTGGCATTAAAACCAACTTTCATCGGTGGTTAAGTCCAAAGGAGTTTTGGAATGCATCAAGGCCTTGTCACACCTTGAGGAAACAACAAAATTACCCCATTTTGGGTACCGAGGCACATAGTGAAGAGGGGCAAAGAAGAAGCTTATAAATTGCACAACGAAAATTTGATGACGCACCTGTCGTACCTGTGCCTTTTTTGACGGCACATCAAATTGCCAAATATGTAGATCCATCAGACTGTGGATTTAAAATACATGAACGGTGCAATTGGATTGGTTTCATAACAAGCGGAAAAGTTCAACAAAGAACCATCCCAAAAACGAACGATACCTAAACCTATGACGGGTTAGATCAATGACATTAGGATTGCATAAGTAAACCTATGGAGATATTACCAGAAAGTAAAAACAGCGAAACACGTCCTCAGCTTGTGAGAGGGATGACATTGACTACTCGTGGGTGGGTGAGGTTTTGACTCATAGCCAGCATAGACTTTACACCAACAGAGGACTTCCGCTGTTTCGTCTTCCTGGTACGCATTCATACGTTTGTTTCTGCTGCTATGAGGCTTATGCTTCCGAAGTCTGTATATTTAGTTAGTAGTTCTAGACAGTACTATATATCTTGTAGTCAGTTCTATTTCAGTTTCTATATTTGTGCTGTGTAGTAGTGTGTCAAGTTCGACTATATGGGAGTTCAATCATTTGGTATTCCCGAGTAAAAGTTTAGGGATTCTTGCGTAGATGAGATAATGGAGGGCAAGACGTGGTAAGAGTTTATTTTAAAAAAGTAGAGTGACTAAATTTATAAGGGGAGTTTCGATTTTTCTAAAAAAATGTATTAGATATATCGGGTTGGGTGTGTTGGTATAAGTAGAGATGTTGGTTATTGCAGTGGTTGTTGGTTATAGTTGCTAGGATGTCGAGTTCTGGACCTCTGCAAAACGTTTCGGTGGATGACACAACCTCGAGCCATCTCTCTCTCTCTCTCTCTCCTTCTCTCCCTCTCTCTCCCTCTCTCCCTCTCTCTCACTCTCTCTCTCTCTCTCTCTCTCTATATATATATATATATATATCTTTTCTTTGGGGACACCAGTCCCAGAAAAAAGTTATTTTTCTTCTTCTTCTTCTTCTCTATCTCTATCTCTGTCTCTATCCATCTATCTATCTCTATCTCTATCTCTATCTATTTATCTATCTCTATCTCTAACTATATCTCTATCTATCTATCTATCTCTATCTCTCTCTATCTCTCTCTCTCTCGCTCTCTCTCTCTCTCTCTCTCTCTCCTTCTCTCTCGCTCTCTCTCTCTCTCTCTCTCTCTCCTTCTCTCTCTCTCTCTCTCTCTCTCTCTCTCTCTCCCTCTCTCTCTCTCTCTCTCTCTCTCTCTCTCTCTCTCCTTCTCTCTCGCTCTCTCTATTCCATGAAATTATCGACACGATTCATCATGCTTTCGAAAATAAAGAAACTGCTTAAGTTCGTTTCTGGACGGGGATAGAGAAAGCCTTCAATTTAACAAACAACAAAACTAGGTGTTAACAAACGTTTAAAATGGCAGTTACAAGTCTAATAAGTTGGCATTTCCTTTTCAACCATCTATTTTTTTAATATTACAACATTTTTTCAGCCGTATTTAAGCGATTAATACAAGGAATTCGTTTCAAAAACTGTTCTGTGGGCCAAAAGTTAGAAAACCGTCCCATTCAAGACCACAAACTCTATGAAATTACCGACACGATTCATCATGCTTTCGAAAATAAAAAAACTGCTTAAGTTAGTTTCTGGATAAAGATAGAGAAAGCCTTCAACAAGCTATAAACGGCGGATTATTCTAGGAAGAAAAAGAAGAAGAACAAGAGGAAGAAAGGAAAACACAGTTGACCCTCATTACGAATTAGTGAAGTTATATTCGCAGAATAGTGCCTTAAAAGTAAAATGTGTCATTAAAAATGTACATTTACTATTTGGCGAAACAGGACGAAGCGTTTTGAATCCAACAACATATTTTTTCCGGGTTCAAAAATAGCACAGTTCGGTTATAGTGTTCCGATTTTAAATCAGCGAGTTCCATTGCACAAACACTGCAAATTGGCAGAAAAAATTATTTAAAAAAGCCTGTCAGAAACAGTTTTAAATGATGCAACAAAATAGCGAGAAGTAATAAGCATAGTTGTAATTTTCCATAGAAAAATTTGTTTCCTTTTTGACTATCAAATGAGTATCAGATGGATTCCTCTGCAAACTTTTCGTATTAGCCTTGACAAGGATTCGAAATGGAACGATGTCATCGAATGTTTTAATGGAACCATTATTTCATATCCAAAGCCGATTAATGATGGAGCGAGCTCGAGGACATTCTTGCGGCAGACAAAGTGTGCCATTGCCCAGCTTTAAGCTGTGGCCGGTCACTCTCTCCCTTGAGGTGAAAGTGCAATTGTATCGGGGTCAACTCGAGAGCATCATCGTCTTCGTCCATCCGGAACAATTGTCTTCGGGATTCAGGGAAAGTTACCTTTATAGTCGCTGTGTATGTACACTTTCGGGCATCAGGAAAATTCTTGCGGTCAAAAAACATTATGGACCTAAACATCTTTGAGCCAATTAGTTCAATCTTAACACCAAAAAGAAGTCTAAACATAAACAATCAAGCTATTCAGCATTAATATTGCGTTTTTTGACAATAAATTAGAAAGCTAGTCGATTTTTTTCCAGGACAATCTAAACTTTATGTCTAATCTAGACTTATTCTTTCCTATACGTTTTACTAAATCTAATCGACACTGCTCTATTTCCTTCGCGAGCATATCGAATCTCTGTGAAAAAAATGTGAAGAGTGAACATTTGATGTAAACAACTTTTTTATTAGTAATTCAA